TTTTTTTTTTCATTCAACAAGTGTTTTTTTACATCTTTTATTTTTCGTTTGGTAGAAAGAAGAGCCCTTCTCCCCGTCCTGCTTTTTGTAGCCGATGCGATAGTAGCATTAAAAATATCAGAAATTTAAAAAAAAAAAAGGAAAAACTATGCAAAAAAAAAGAAAAACTATGTAAAAAAAAGAAAAAATTATGTAAAAAAAAGGAAAGAAACTGTGAAAGAAGAGAAGAAACTATGTAAAAAAAGGGGAGAACTATGCAAAAAAAGAGAAAAAACTACGTAAAAAAAGAAAAAACTATGTAAAAAAAGAAAGAAACTGTGAAAGAAAAGAAAAAACTGTGTAGAAAGGAAGAAAAAAACTATGTAAAGAAAGGAAAAAACTATGTAAAAAATAAAGAAAAAACTATGTAGAAAAAAACAAAAAGCTATGTAAAAAAGAAGAAAAAACTATGTAAAAAAGAAAAAACTATGTAAAAAAAGAAAAAATTATGTAAAAAAAAGAAAAAAACTGTGAAAAAAAATGAAAAGCTATGTAAAAAAAAGAAAAAACTATGTAAAAAAAGAAAGCTATGAAATTCAAAAAAAAGAACTTATGTATCTTACTCTTTTTTTCTTCTACTTCCCCCGCAAATCCAACCCAATATTCTGTGTGTGTTGTCTGTTCAAAGTAGATATTGCTAGAATCCTGCATAAGATCATTGAACAGATTCTCGAATCTTATGTTGATCTTGTGCTGTAGGCGCACCACCTTTTTCATAAGTATCCACTGCAGATACTGAAAACCCGGTTTTTTTTTGCTGTTATTGACTTTGATTTGTAGCTCCTGTTTTTTAAATCATATGTATGATTCAGCGGGGGGAAGGGGGAGGAGAGGGGAGAGGTTAATTCAACGGGGGAAAGGGGAGGGGCTAATTCAAGGGGGGAAAGGGGAGGGGTTAATTTCTTTTTTTTTTTGAAATCACCGATCAAAATTTCAGGATGGATTATCGTAGGTCGAATTCAAATATGATTTCACGAAGACGCCGGAGCAATGAGCGTGAAAGCAGTCGAAATTTTACGCGTTCCACCCGATATTCATCTTATAACAGGTACGTATTTCACTGCAGCTGTATCACTGTTTTATGCGTGATGTTAAATTTTACTATTTAAGAGAATAAAGTTTTTTTTATTACGGTTTACGATTTAGGAGAATTGTACGATATACTTACGATTTAAGAGAACAGAGATTTGAGAAAGTAGAGGTTTTTTGGCGATCCGAGTAAGTTAGTTTTTTTTGGCAAAAATTGCCGCTGGCTGG